GTCAAACTAACCGAAGCTTGATATGTTGCCTTCTTTTAGACTTTTTGCTATTGAAATTATAAATAGAAATGATGCACACACACACAAAACTTGCGCATTCTATTAACTCTTAATTTCTTCAGCTCTTAAAAACCCACTAACGATTTCTTAGTCGTTTCAAAGACGAAATTATGTTTTTATTGTCGTTTATCAGAGGCAGGTTTTATATTACCCTTTCGTATCTGAACTGTTAGTTCAACCCTTTCTTTTTCATAATGTCTGTTCAAATCAATCTGACCAAAGTGTTACTAGCTTAGCTCCTTTGAAAGAGTTGTTCCTCTTGTTGGTTCCTTGACCCCATTTTGGGAGAAAAAGAAGAGACCAATGCGCCCCCACCCCTCACTTAAGTATGTTATAAAAAACGACTAATTAGAGGTGTTTTCTTCGAAGACCCGGGAACCCACACGGGGAAGAAGAATAACGATGCAGTGGTAATAAGGGAAGGAACTAGAAGAGATAACACAAGACAATACAGCTTAATATTTTGATGGTTTGTCCTCTACTAGCTAAAGATGATTAATTGACATTTAAATGTTTTACACTCCAAGAAGACAGCAGCAACAACATCATCATGTAGCAGGTCCTTCGCAAAACATTGCTTCTCTCATCATAGTCTGCTTTAAAGAAACTATGTCTCTCAACTAATTTTCCGCCTCGTGTACTTTTCTACTCAAAGTATCACTTATATCCTGTGCCAATCTGCAACTATTCTTTCAAATATGAACTTGATATAGCCAAAACACAGTGTATTTCAGTTTCCGAGACAAGATGCTGTTTACCAGCTAATCTTCCTTGATGTTCAGATCTTTTCTTCCTAATCCATTGTAGTCTACAGCACAAAAGCAATTGAAAAAGTCCTTTCATTATATTTTTCTTCGTCTTTTGCCTTCCAATTTTTACTGTAGCATAGGCCAGTGTTTCCCAAACTGTTCTTTGTCGCGGCGCCTTTTTTTCAATAAAAAATTTCTCACAGCGCCCTAACCTAAGTAAAAGTATGACTATTCGTTTGTAAAAAAAACAAAACAAACAACTCGTGTATCTTCGAGTATTTCGCAGCGCCCCTATGAAGAGGTTGCAGCTCACTGGGGCGCACACTTTGGGAATCACTTACATAGGCTCTCAACCAACTCATTTCAAGTCATCTGTAGACTTGCTCATGACAGGAAGTTATTTTGCAGCTAAAGTTTTCTATGGGATGAAGTAGAGTCTCATGCCAAACCTCCACAGGACATGCACGGTAAATTACAATGTTACTATTCCCTTAGAATGTGCTATGAAATCACAGTGACCTTCAGCTCAACAAATCAGAAAAAAAAAAGAGAAAGATTTCCCGGGGAATTATTAAAATAATACATTTGAAGGTAGAAATAACTGAAGGGAGGCAAGCATGAAAGTTTCTATCAACTGAACAGACTTGCACTCCTTAAATTAAAAATATAGAAAAGATGATTAAAACAATGCAGAAATAAAAACATAAGGTTAAAAATAAAAAATCTATTTTACTTAGAAAATTGCTTAACAAAAAACTAGGTATACAAATATACACATAAACATACTCACATGTTTGGTGTAATCATTCTGCTTTGCTGTATCAATTTTATTATATTACTTTACATATTCAATTAAGAATCAACATCACAGCACTTGGGAATATACCATAAGTGCTCAGTCCCCGTCTTCAGCAGCCAGCGAAGAGTTCCAATTCCAATGGTACCAGTAACTGTCTGATTGTACATCCGTCTCATCCTTCCCCTCAGCGTTGAGCGTCGGCCAGATTCCCTGGTAACTCCTCGCAGCGCCATTCTCCTTATACCATAATAATCTATCTGCGCCCCTGCACTGTTTACTCACTCCTAAAGGGCCCTCACAATATCTAACTTGTCATACATCAATTCACCAACAAGTTGTCTAGACTTATATTATAAGTCATGGCCTTGTGGGATGTAATATTTCGTTATTTTGAAGCATTACCCTGGCTCTTGCCAGGGGCCCTGTTGAACAGGGTTTTTGGGACCTCTCCACTGGTGATCCTTATCCGCATGGTGGCACTTTGTGTCACCGGATGTTTATCGCTCTGCGTGATGTCCTGGTGGGGTAAAATTTACTTACTATTGCTGTTTTAACTTCATCCCAATATGGGACACCATTTTTATTTTGTTATTTTAAAGCCCCACACCAGCTGCAGAAGGAGGTGGTGGGGAGGCTAGGGTAATAACAGGAACTTTGAAATCTTCTTCTTCGCATTCATCAGCTGTAAACTCTGGCGGAAAGTTTTGGTTATTCGTCCACTTCTGGTTTGCAGTCCTGTACCAGAACTTGAGTGTTGCGTGTGCATACGTTAGACATATCTGACTAATCTGTATGCAGACTGTTGGTTCCTTGCCTCTCAGGCAGATGCACTTCAACTTTGAAGGAAGCTCCCAATTAGTCAACTTTTACGACATGCCTTTGGGCAGCAGTGGGCATTTTCTTATTTTTCCTATAACGGAACCCCGGAACTTCAGAACCAGTGAGAGGTCCCATTCATTATAACTGTGGCTATACTGCTGAATGGTGTTTCTCAGATTTCTAGCTGTCTGCTTCTCATCCTTGAGATGGTATTTCTACAAATTGCAATCCTGGATAGGAAAACATTGGGGAAAGGGAAGGGAGGGACCTTTCTCTTCCCTTTACTTTCTAACAGAGCACAGAACCTCAACCAATTCAGGCTAAGTAACCCTAATTTTCTCCATTTTAGTTATACTGTTATCAGGTTTTCTTAATGTGTTATATCCAATACCAGCATCTTTTCCTCACCTCTTCATCACCAAAATTTGTTTATTCTCTCCCAAAGCTCTACATAAGTAATTCTGTCATACCATTTAATTCCTTTTATTCTGCTCAGGTATCAGTTAATGAATGTTTGTATAAAATTCCTCTTTAAAAGCCTCACCCCTATTATTTATTAGTGAGACACAATGGATTACAGACACATTTGAAGGCTGAGATAAATGACATTATTGTAACTAACTCTTCTTGGGCCCAGTCAGTCTAGGCACCCTGGAGTGGCTGCTGCATCGGGGACAGAGCACATATAAAAATGCCCAATGTGCAGTGACATCTATTTAATGTTTAAATGAGAATCAACATCACTTGTGATAACATAATAGGTTGATTTCTTTTCAGTTCTCTCCTAAATCTCAAATTATTGATTCTATCAAACCATTTAATTCCCTCTATTCTGCACAGGCACCAGTTAATTAATGTTTGTTGTTTATTAAGTAAAAAAAAAAGCAAAGATCCCTTTACACGCCCTTAGGCGCATCGGGCATATGGGAAGAGCACCCATATTTTTACAGACCAATCGGCACTCGGTGGGTAATGTGGTCAGCATTACGCCGGCTGTCTTTACTTTTCCAGGACAGCCCATCCTGGTACCCGTTTGAGGTTGGGTCGACCTGTGACGTCTCATACCACGATAAAAATTCATGCAGCCCACAGTGGGTTTCAATCGCGGTACGTTGGATTACGAGTCAGACTCGCAACGCCTTAGCCACGGACGCCTTGTTGTTTATTAGTAACTGTTTTAGTTGTTCTCCATATTTCCGCTACATACAGCAGTTTTGATTTGACATCAAAGTTAAAAATTGTAAGTTTAATATTAGTTTTAATTTGTTTTGACCACAAATTTCCTAGTGCTATGAAAGCTCCTTTTACTTTTTGTATTTATTTATTAAATACCCTAATCAATTCCCCCTTGTTTATCTACATTAGTCCAAACAGGTGAATGACTTCACATCCTGGAGTAAGATACCACTGAGAGAAATCAGACTACCAATTGCCTGATTAATTCTCACTATGTATTTCCAATATGGATTTTTAGACCTCGTTGTGATCTTGCATCAAATATGTGTTGAGCCATCGCTTTGCTTTCTCTAAATACCATTATCATTATAGCACTACTACATGTTATCATAATCATGTTCTCATTTCTTACTCTTAGATCTGTTCTTTCTAAGTCTGAGTTCTGAGCTCCCATTGTGACACTCTCCTCCCCCAAAAAACAACAAAAAAGAATCACTGCTCTTTGTTAGGCTTGTCGAAAATAACTGACTCAGGGTTTCAGTTTATGATTTCAGGTGGGGACAATCAATCACAGACGAATGTGAATTATAGAAATCTTCATGTGGGTTCTAGGCCCCATTCTAAGGGTTATAAGAATAGCTGCCTTTCACCCCCCTTTCCCATTTCCTCAATAGACCTGTTATAAAAGATAATTATATATGCTTTTTTTTTAAATCAGAGTGCATCTGCCTGAGAAGCAAGGAACCAACAAATAAGGCAGATTTGTAAAATTTATGTGCCAGTATATGGACCAAATTCCAGAAGTGGAAGAACAATCAGAACTTTTAGCCCGAGTTTAAAGCCGGTGAAAACTAAGAAAACTGATTTATGAAAAAAAAACAACAACTCCAATGCAAGTTCAAAATATATTGTGTCCTCATTATCATCGTGGGGGTCTCCAGGGAGAGGAATAGACACACCACACTCCCTCCCCCTCCAACAAGCATGTCATAAAACTGCTGACTGAAGTTTCCCGGATTTGTAGCTGTGTGATTCTCACACTTGAGATGTTACTTCTACAGACTGCAATCCAGGAGGCAAAAGTTGAAAAAAACTTTAAAAAAAACTTCTTCCCTAAAAACAGCAAAAGACGGAAATGCTAATCATCCTTTCAAGAGTAAACGCAGGAGTATTCTCACTATTATTCTGCTGAGATGGATGGTCATTTGTAGGCATGTCTTGAGTGGAGTCATGTCAATTTTCCACCATAGGCATAATCTGTCCAAGTACTTACTGAACATTTTATCAGCATACACATATACACACACATAAATACACATACACACAAACAATAAATAAAAGAACAGTTAAGAGTATTCCTCATTTTAAATTATATTACAGTGCATGTCGAATTTATTCTAACCAGATTCATTGTCTAAGTGTGCTTCTTCATCTGATAAGCCGCTCTCTGCTGCGCTGCCCGTCAATTTCATCATTATATAATTGTGAAGTGGTGACGACACAAATTCTGGCCAATGTATTGCTGACTGAAAGGGACAAGGCAAAGTGGTTAAAATTAAACATTTATATATTAGATAAGTCATCGGCGTCTGTGGCTTAAGCATTGCCAATGTTTTCTGTAGTTTCTTGGTGCCGGATTAAATCTCAGCTGCTGGCAATTTGGCAGCAGACCATTTTGTGTTGGTTTCAACAGTAGTATTGAGAGCTGGCTGTTCAGAAAGCAATGGCAAACAAGTGCACGTAAAATTGCCTAGTGAAATCATAAACAGCCATCAAATGCTGGGGTTGGTTATGCAATGTCCAATAAAAGACAAATAACTAATCATTATTTTTTAATATACCAGATTGAGTTAAAGTTTGTCACACACAGCTTGGTTTTTCTCTGCAGAAAGCCTAGCCACAGTAACGATGTAACCTACCAAGCATGCCAAAAGATGCCTCTAAGGAGGTTTGATATGATACCAGCTACCTACCACAACCCAAAAAAAATTAAGCAGCAAAATTTAATCAGTAATGAACAAGTCTCAGTATAGCAGCACATTGCTTTGTGACGATTTTAACAATAATAGATTTTTATATCTTTTCGCCGCCCGGTTCTCCAGCGTAGTTGACAGCGTGTTGGATGTCAGGTGACAATTCCCATGTGTGTCCAGTCTCAGGTTCAAGCCGGGGGATGGCAGAAAAGACACATACTCTCTAGATCAACGGTTTAAGTGGCACCGAGGCTGAAGGGCTTTGATGCACACGACACTGAGCCAAAAGAGCTATGCTCAAGTGCTTCTGGTTTAAAAAATTTTTTTTCTGGCGATCCAAGTGTATCAGAACTTGTAGAACTAGCCAACCAGATGCAGACATGCTGCTGCATGAGCTCAAAGGGGCTCCAAAAGAAACTGGACAGACAGTAAAGGCTCCATCTGATATGATGCTCAAATTAAATGACAACTTGCAAAAACAATACTTCTAGACCAAGTAAAGATCCCTTTCCACACCTCTGGGCATAATAGGGTTAGACCTATAATTTATAGATCAATCGGCACTAGGTGGGTTATGGGGTCAACATCATGCTGGCCACCTTTACTTTTCAAGACTTTACATTCAACTTCCAGACCCAGAGATGGACCTAAATCAGCTAGACAAGGCCAAATTATTAACTCAGGCAGAAAGTTCTGCTGGTTTGTCCAGTTGTGGACTTCAGTCTTGTTATAGAACCTGAGCGCTGAGTGCACATCCATTTTACAGATCTGACATATATATATATATATATATATATATATATATATATATATATATATATATATATATATGCAGACTGTTGGTTCCTCGCCTCTCAGGCAGATGCACTACCACTTCAAAGAAAGTCCCCAGTCAGTCGACTCTTAAGCATGCTTTTTAGGGAGGCGGTGGGTCAATTCTTGTTTTTCTCAGAATGGGGACCAGAACCCACATGGGAAACAGAGCTTTAAAAGGCTCCAACAGAAGCAGATGTCCATATTTATAAAGGCCTGTAGGTTATACCTTGCTGGTATAGTCGATTAATCAATCAGTTAGTCAGCATATCCTGTAAATAATGTCATTTATGGCACACCTGAACATCTCTCTTTCTCTAGACAATTCTCTAGCCCTGTGTGCTTTCACAACCGCCAATGCATCTTCAATGTCCTGTATCTACCTTCACGAAAGTCAGCCTCTACAGGTGCCCTAATTTTAACTTCTTATGAGGAAGAACTGGGTATTTGCCAACCAGAGTGAGATATTCAAATTTCAGAATGGCATGGTAGACCTTTAGGTATCAGTGTGACAAACCATCGGAAGATTTCAGTCCGGCAAGAGTTAATTGCATCTTGTGGTTGAAAGAATTGCGCACTTAAAATAAATATAGTTGAGTATAGACGCGAGAAGAGTAGAAAATGTACAAAGGCGCACATAACTTATGACGTTTTCGTAGTGTTACTAGGAGAAACCCTTAGAGCTAGTCATTCGTCACTACACCAAACGACAGCCCCAGCCATTCCATCGGCCTACTACCAAGAACTAATATTAATAATAAAATCATACGAATTCAGGTGAGATTTATAATGGTAGGGAGTAGCTGAGATCCCCTGTAAGCCTTAGCTGTATCCTGAAATATGTTATCGAGATCCTATCATTCTATATTCTACCATTGTATAAATATTCCGTGACTTCATCAACCTTGATACTTGTCCGTTGGACAATTTGCTAGTCCCTACATCTATAACTTTCTTTAGATTACTATTCACAGTTAGGTCTATACAATAGCGAACCCTCCTTCCCTCTGTCACCTTTTCGGAAAATATTCATTCGGTTTCCTTGCGTAAAGATCTTACAGTATAATAAACCATCATCCTGTGCCATGTGGTATCATCAGTTGGGTATACATTACATTGCTTATGTTTATTATATTATGCAACATACAATTTGAGTAAATGTCGTCAGCTGTGTGGGCATATAGGGTTGGCCTAAGTTTTATAGACCAAGTGGTACCTGGGCGTTGATGTGGTCAACATCACACCTGTCGCCTTTACTCCCCATGACTATAGCTGGTGTCCATTTAAGGCGAAGTCGACCTGGGTCTGTTGGGACTTGAACTAACGACTGTCCAATCCGCAGGCGAGCGTGTGTCCACTTAATTATGTCAAGTTTTATATGATCGTGCAATAATTTGGATATGTATAAAACAATATATTATAACAGGGTGGAGAGATTTATTTGTGATATTGCTCGTGGAGAAAGACAAAGTATGAACCTTGCTCTTTCCCTTACTAATCTGAAAACACCACAAACACCGCAACACCTCCACCTGCCCCAGATGTGTCGACATAATTCTCAACACAAGGCTGATTTATGTATTTTCTCAGGTTCCCTGTAACCCTATGGATGGTTAACAACATTATAGACGGAGATCCCGAAATGAACTGAAGACTTATGCTGATATCCAATTCCTACAATTGTTGCCGCCAGTGTATTGTCCATACCACAGAACGCCATATTCAGCTTGAACGATCGTTGAGATGAGTGAAGTTGATACATTGAAATGGTTTTTTTTTTCATGTGAAATGATGAGTTAATTTCCTTTTGAGTTGAATAATTTGTTATGATTCTTAGTCAGCATTATATCAATACAATTGTTGTTTTCTTGAAAACTCATACATCGAAGTATTGTACATTGTGATTTATTTGAGTTCAATTTACAAAGTGTTGAACTTTGGGTTTCTGAATTTAGTTAGAAAAATAATTATGTATTCCATTATATTTCGGGGATTCACCCTATTTATTTGATTTTCTGTATTTTCCTTCCTTTCTTTATGAAAGGGACCATTAGAATTCCCCTAGACTTTCTTAATTCGAGCCCTGTAAATTATTAGGAAGGATTATAGGGGATCTCCAGGCGACGATAAATTCCGCCAAACTAGTTCACCACAATCAGCCCGAAGGGGGACGAGAAAATGGTGGGTGGGTGGGGGAAGCAATCTGATCAGCCAGAAGAAAAGTATGAAAAAGAACAATAGTGTAGTTTCACAAACCACCCTTCTTCTTCTGCTTTTAGGGGAGATGTTGTGGCATAGCGGCTACACACTCACCTATAGGCCTGAAAGTGATGTGGTCAATTCTGCATCGTCAGATTTAAAAAAAACAATTGATCTTGGTTGCCAGGTTGACCCAGCCTAAAAGTGGTTCCAGGTAAAATTCGGGGAAGACTTTTCCCTGGTGGCCCAGCATGATGTCGAACACATGCCCACCCCGAGTGTCGACTGGTTTAGAAAATACGAGACTAGCACTATATACCCAATAGGCCTAAAGTAATATAGAACGGTTTTTGGAACTTTACTATTACTGCATTCATCCTTAAAAAGATGGCTGACACAGAATTTACAGTCACAGCACAGTATTTACAACTTTCTGCCCAGCATGTCTGGTTGCAGAAAACTCCTAATTAATAGCCTTTTACGACATGCTTGTCACTGCACCCTGAAAACTGTGACCCTGGAACCCACACAGGAATAACAATGTCCGATATCAGAGCCATTCAACTAAATTTACCCACTGGACACAATTTGAAATTTTTTTTAATGGAGATCCAAGGAGGCCAGAACCCTAGCATGGAAAGATCTGAGGGGTCTCCGTGGTGAAGTAGTCAGGCCGTTAGCCTCACGCTCTGAAGGTCGTGGGTTCATTTCACAGCTGCGCCCGTTCAGTTCTCGAGTGCAATTTTTAAGGACATCCCTGGGGATCCTCACAGGAACTATGGACCTCATGCTCTTGGCGGTGCCCTCGGCAGGCATCTAGCTGTTCTGCAGAGAGAGACCGAGCCATATGGGATAAAATCTGATGCAATGAAGATGATCCTCTTGACTTTAACCTTTATAAAAGAACATTAATGTAATACAACTGGCAATGATCCACCGGCCTCTTCCTAGACCAGATCTGGCCCATGGGCTGCCAGCAGACTAGCCCTGCACTACATCACATGCCAGATCTGGCCTATGGGCTGCCAGGAGACTAGCCCTGGATTACATCCCATGCCAGATCTGGCCCATCGGCAGCCAGGAAACTAGCCCTGCACTACCTCACAGACCAGATCTGGCCTATGGACTGCCAGGAGACTAGCCCTGCACTACCTCACAGACCAGATCTGGCCTATGGACTGCCAGGAGACTAGCCCTGCACTACCTCACAGACCAGATCTGGTCCATGGGCTGCCAGGAGACTAGCCCTGCACTACATCACATGCCAGATCTGGTCCATGGGCTGCCAGGAGACTAGCCCTGCACTACATCACATGCCAGATCTGGCCTATGGACTGCCAGGAGACTAGCCCTGCACTACATCACATGCCAGATCTGGCCAATGGGCTGCCAGGAGACTAGCCCTGTACTACATCACATGCCAGATCTGGCCTGTGGGCTGCCAGCGGGCTAGCCCTGCACTACATCACATGCCAGATCTGGCCAATGGGCTGCCAGGAGACTAGCCCTGCACTACATCACATGCCAGATCTGGTCCATGGGCTGCCAGGAGACTAGCCCTGCACTACATCACAGCCAGATCTGGCCTGTGGGCTGCCAGGAGACTAGCCCTGCACTACATCACAGCCAGATCTGGCCTGTGGGCTGCCAGGAGACTAGCCCTGCACTACATCACAGCCAGATCTGGCCAATGGGCTGCCAGGAGACTAGCCCTGCACTACATCACAGGCCAGATCTGGCCTGTGGGCTGCCAGCGGGCTAGCCCTGCACTACACCACTGGCGCTATATACTGACATTAGGCAACCCAAAGCTATAGCTCAAATTTTCTAAAATAAAAATAAAAACGATAACAATAATAAAAAACCATTTTAAAAAATCAACAGGACTCACCTTGTAGAGTTTAACAAACTCTTCTGGATTGGACCTGATAATAATGTCCATCATAGTAAAACCGTCTGCCAACATCCTCAAGCCACATCCAGGCATTAACATTCTGAAACGAATTAAAACGAGACAGATGGAGAGAATTAGTTACCCCTATTTTGTTTGCAGGCCTCCATTTTGGAAAATGGATGATGGCCTAAAGAAAACCCTAAAATGAATGCTGCTGAGAGAGGCCAAAGGTTTAGAGTCCAGAAGTGGATGAACAACCAGAACTTTTTACCAGTGTTTACAGACGCTGAATGGGAAGAAGTAGAAGATAAAGATGAACTGATTTGGGTAATGCAGACATAATGGCCAAGTCATACTCCATTCAAAAGAAAAAAAAAGGGCTTTCTTAAATGATGGGACTGCTGAAAAAAGTAAGTGCAGTCTCAATTACAGTTTCAAATCTCCAGATAAGTAGTTGTATTTCTTCAGTGACAGGTCAAATAGTTTTTGACAGGCCTTTTAGCCTTATCCAGTACTACAGTCACCTTCACCTCTTGATTGGCTGGAATTTGCTTAGTTTTATTCCAAAAACCCATAAGCGATTTTGTCATTCTATTCCATTCAGGCATGGCGGCTTCCGGGGCTTAGGCGATGAATCATAATTCCAACGTACCACTGCTGGCTCTCTGGATTTTTATCATGGTATGGAGCTTCGCAGATCAACCCAGCCTAAAATGGGTACCAGGATGGCTGTCCTGGGGAAGTAAAGACGGCCAGCGTAATGCTGACTACATTACCCACCTAGTGCTAACTGGTCTGTAAAAATTTGGGTGCTCTTCCCATAAGCCTGATGTGTCTAAAGGTGTGAAAAGGTATCTTTACTCTACTTACTTATTCCATTCAAGCACCATCATTATCATCCGGTTGTGCCAACATATGTCACACAGGGTTTGCAGTCCTTTTCTCCAGTCTGTTCTATGCTGTGCGATGCTTTTGATTTCATGGATGCAATCCAGTCCAACACTTCTGGCCTCTCTCAGTAATGTTGATTTTAGGTTTTCACTTGTACCTCCTTGTTTCCTCAATCTATTTGTTTCCCATTTCAGTGACTGTCTGGTGATTCTCTGATCACTTCTGCTCAGAAACTGGCCACTACAAATAACTTCACTTATAAGTGATGATATCAGTGGTTGTCCAAACATTTCACTGAACTCCCCCCCCCCACCCTCCTTCTTGAATTAATCCATAATCCTATTTAATGTTCATAATGACAGGAGGAAAACAGTCACGACAGAAATGAAATGTTTATGTACTATGCTAGGAAAGATCGACTTAGGGACAATGATATTAGGAGGAGAATCAGCACAGAACCAATAATTAACTTTATCAGTAGACAACAGATAAAAGGTAAAGTCGGGAGATGTGAACTAGCGTCATTGCACACGGTTATAAACCATAAGTGCTCTGCCACCAGTGTGGACAGATGATAAGAATTGTCCGCCTGTGTCGCTGTCCGCACGTAACTCTGTAACTACAGCAACGTTCCTCCATTTACCTCAGAGTGTCAACACTGGTACCCATTTCCCAGAGGCTGTGTGAACCCCGGGAACCGCCCGGTTTCGAACACCGACCATAGGTTGCAGCGAGTCGCAGCTGGATTTGAAAGCGAGCCTCTTATCGACTGTGCTAATGCGCCCAAATCAAATCAAATGGTTTGGCCATGTAACAAGAATGGCAGCAGACAGGGCATCACAAAAAGCAATGTTATACAGATACAATGCTAACAGAGACAGAGGTCGACCATGCAGATATGGACCACAGAAATATCAGAGACACTGAAAAGTACTTTATACGAAACAAACAAAACAGCCCGTTCTAGAGATCTCTTTCTGCCCTGACACCATGAGGCATTCCCGGAGTAGAGAAAAGAAGGAAAAAAAAGAAGAATGTTTATAATTTTCTCAGACACTTGTTTTCAAAAGAATGTATCCTTCATTTCATATCTTTAGCGGCATAGGTTAAACAAAAAAAAAGAAAAAGAAAAAAAAAACCATACAAACACACACATTAGGGCTGAAAATACATAACTTGGTTTTATAACTATATACTTTGTTCCATATTTTATGCAGGCTTTAAAATCTGCTGTTCAGTTGCCAATGCATGTTATAATTATAATCAAGTTGTCGCCTCGTGGGATGTAATTTTTTGTTATTTTGAAGCCCCACCCTGGCTTTTGCGGGGGGCCCTGAATATAGCCGGGCCATAAATATGACTCAGTGGCTGAAAGGGGTTTCTGGGACCTCTACACAAGGGATCCTCATCCGCATGGTGGCACTTTGTGTCAACGGGTGTTTATCGCTTGTGTGATGTCCTGGTGGGGTACAACTACCTACCTACCATGTTATAGTTCATCAACACATTATACCTGTCTCCCAATGTCAGACGTAATATCTTGTTTGTTTTAAAGCCCTACACTAGCTGTTGCCGGGGGCCCTAATATAACCTAACGGTTGAACAGGGTTCCTGGGACCTCTCCCCGGATGATCCTCATCCACACAATGGCACTTTGTGTCACCGAGTGTTTATCGCTTGGTGGATGTCCAGATGGGGTTAAATCTAACTAGCTAACATCATAACTGACTTTCAAAATTACTACCAAAATAGATAGGCTGATCTGTTTCTTTAATTAATTTTGTCTCTGCTTGATTTGCTATTGATGTCTTCTCATTATTTCTTAATGTATTTTTATTCTTGGGAAGGCTAACCCGGTGAACAAATGCCTGTAGATAGAAGTCAGATGTGTCGGCTGAACGGTACAGATATCACAGCCATGCTGTAAACAAGCACAATGCAATTACACTTTTTTAGACAAACGCTAAGAAGAATATTTATTTCTGTTTTAGTAATGCTCCTAACAGTACTAATTTAATACCAGAGTTAAATATTCTAAGACTGGATTTAGGTCTTTTTCTTTTGAATGTAAGTCACATGTAAGTCTAAATATGTGTTTATAAGAGTTTATATGTTTACATGAGTTTATATGTTTATATGAGTTTATACGTTTACATGAGTTTATACGTTTACATGAGTTTATACGTTTACATGAGTTTATAAGAGTTTATATGTTTACATGAGTTTATATGAGTTTATATGTTTACACGAGTTTATAAGAGTTTGTGTGTTTACATGTTTATATGAGTTTATAAGAGTTCATATGTTTACATGAGTTTATAAGAGTTTACATGAGTTTAAAAAAATATATATGTTTACATAAAATAAAAGTTTATATGAGTTTTTATTAGTTTATATGAGTGTAACTCAAAGAGGCAGATACTTACTCCAGTGCTGGTATAGTCCTCAGTGCCTTTTTCTTGTACACTTGATTTAGGAAATGTAAAAATGGAGTATGATGATGAAGAGGGAGAATGTCATCAACATTCTTTTTTAACTGCATTCTGACCAACAATCTCTTTGAATGATCAATGTCTTTGTTCTAAAATAAAATAAAAAGTTGGTTGAAATGTTAGCAATTGTATAAAGCAACAAATGTTAACAACCTCTGTAAACTAAGCTTATTTGAATAAAACAAGTAGCAAATAAACTTAAAAAAAAAAAAATGAGCTTCAATGAAGGTTAGTTTTAGTGCACCCACACAAGAACAGGTCATATTTTGCAGAAAAAAAAAAATCAAATGCAGGGTCTTGTAAGACTGAAAATACAGTTTAAAAAAAAAAAGAAAGACAACTGAAATAATCTGGTAACATTTGAAAAATATAACTTTCTTCTTCTCCTTCTTCGCATTCACTGGATGTAAACTCCAGCGGAAAGTTCTGGGTGTTCCACCTCTGTATTTTAGTCTCATTCAAGAATGTGAGTGTTGTGTGAACATCCATTTCAGACACATTGCTCATTTGTATGAAGACTCTTTGTTCCTTGCCTCTCATGCAGATTTACTTCCAAGGATACCCCCAAATTAGCCGACTCCTAGGACATACTTTTTTGGGAAAGCAGTGGGCGTATTCTGCTTTCCCCACAGTGCGAATCTGGAGCCCATAACAAGATAAAACTCTTTCAAAAACCCTTACTGGAAGCAAAGGTTGAGGACAAGAGAGCAGAAGGTAGACAGCAATACAAATGGGAGGACAACATCAAAAGATGGATGAACGGCTGGCAGTCTACGAAAGTCTATAATAAAAATGGAGATCCCTTGCAGCCAACCTTCACTGTGGAGATGGCAACTGATTAATTTATCCATTTCTGTACTTTAAGGAATACTATATGTTGAGGCTTCAAACTTTTCCACAGTGTTACTCTCGTACAACTGCCAGAGTGTCACAAGAACATAATTCGTTCGTTCGTTCGCGTTCACCAGCTGTAAACTCTGGCGGAAGGTTCTGGTTGCTCGTCCACTACTGAACTGCAGTCCTGCTCCAGAACCTGAGTGTTGCATGTGCATCAGTTTTACAGATCTCATTCTCCTGAATACAGACTGTTGGTTCCTTGCCTCTCCGGCAGATGCACTCCGACTTCAAAGGAAGCTCCCCAATTAGTCGACTCTTACGACATGCTTTTGGGGAGGCAGTGGGTCTATTCTTGTTTTCCCCACAATGGGGCCCCGGAACCCACACGGGGGACAAGAACATAATTAAAAACCACAACATATAAATCATCAGCTGATGAAATCCAACTCTGGTACTCAAGTAAATAAAGTAAAGGATCCTTTTCCACTCCTTCAGGTGTATAGGGCACATAGGGTTAGGCTTATATTTTACATAAAAATCAGAACTTGGTGGGTGATGTGGTCAAAGGCATGCCGGCTATTCAACTAAGTTTGCTCATGGGACAATATGTTGAAAATGAGAATCATCAAGGACCAGCGGCCCAAGCCCTAGCATATAAACATCATGAATACGATATAACTGGCAATAATCAGCAAGTCACTTGCTAGGCTGCCACATGCCAGATTTGGCCTGCCATTTAAAGAAGAAGAAAAAGAAGAATGCTTATAATTTTCTCAGACACTTGTTTTCAAATGAATTTAACCTTTATTCCATATCTTTAGTGGCATATGTTACACCCCCCTACCCCCCCCCCCCCCCCCCCCCCCCCCCCCCCCCCCCCCCCCCCCCCCCCCCCCCCCCAAAAAAAACCCATACAAACACACACATTAGGCCTGAAAATACATAACTCGGTTTTATAACTATATAATCTAAGTTCCATATTTTATTCAGGTTTTAAAACTGCTGCTCAGCTGCCAATACACATCACAATTCATCAGGAGAATTGGCTCATAAACAACATTCTGGGTAAAACATGGCATAATGCTGACCACATCACCTGCTAGTGCTGATTGGTCGATAATAAAATGAGTCTGACGCCATTTGTCAGATGTACCACTGGCATAAAAAAGAGTCGCTAACTGGGTCAAACGGAGAGAGTCAAACAGCATGTAAACTGATGATACTAATAGCAACAACAACAAAAAACAAAAACACTAACAATAAGGATTTACCTGCCTACTTCTTGATGAGCTGAAAGGAGGAGAAAAGTCATCTGCATTGAACTGAAATCAGGAGGTAAACATTTTTAAATCGTCAATATGGAATATTCTTGAAATATTTCAAACTTAGTAATTCAAGTTAAAAAATTCCTTACGTATTGGTAATCAAGTTTGTCCATGGGTTTCTCTCATGTGTAGTGTAAAATATTCTTAATTATCATGATGCCATGATATTCAATATCCTCTCTCTGAACCTCTTCTTCTGACTCTTTCACCCCAGCAACACTAAGAAAATGGATGATGACCCTTAGGAATTCTCCCCCCAAAAAAAAAAAGAAAAACAGGCAGGTCACTTATAAATAATTTAACGATTTAGTTATGTACCCTGTAATCATTTTTTTCTAAAAATGTACAAGGATACAAAGGATTTAATCAATAAACATGATCAAAATGAAGCATAAAATGGAACAGATTCCCTGGCGCATACAAAATATATGGATTAAATGGCTCATTCTGTGACCTCTATCATTGTGGGTATTGGGAACATCTGACATTAACTTGGTTTTAAAACAAACCTTCTTGATCTCATAAACATTTCGGCAGGTACGAACACAGCCAACAGCAGTAGCTTTACATCTCGTAAACAGGCCACTATAGGCATGTCAAAAAAGTGACATTTACAGGGTATTAGTCTCAGCAGGAAGTGTGATTTCTGCAGCTTCTCGGGGTGAAAAGTTAGCTTTTCCCATATCAATACATTCAATTTTCTCATTCTCTTGATGTAACCTACAAATGTTGACTTTCATGTGTGTGATGCGAGTAATCAGTTTTCTTGATGAGAACTTTATCTTCACAGCACTTTATATCTGTCCATGCTTAGTCTGTTATTTGCAGCTCCAACCTCGCGCAAATGGGTGCCCCTGCCTAAACAGGTACCCTAGGATGTAAAGAAGGCTGTCATGATCTTGACCACATTGCCAGTTAGGTGCCATATGGCATTAAAAAATATAGCACTACACATAAATACTAATGGGCCAAATGGCATTAAAAAATATATGTCTAGCACTACACATAAATACTGATGAGCCAAATGTGTGAAACAAGTCCTTTATTACAAGCTTTGATTAATTTTGGGTTTGTTTGTTTGTTTTTCTGGGTGAGATTTTGTGTTTGATTTCTGTCTAATTTCCTGCCAAAGTATACTGCTAACATTTTGCATGCACATGCTTTGAAATAACAATGCCATGTGGCGAAAAAACATTCCACAAATTTGTGTTGTTTCAATTCTCTTTTTTAATGTTTATTTCCTTCCACAAAAGAAGAATAAAATAATCTACACTATAGATACTGTACCTGCTCTAAAACCTCAACATCATAAAACAGATGAATCATAGCATGGATGTAGCCAAAGTATGTGCTGCCTGTCTTGTCTCTGGTAACAGATGAGACACCACTACTGCTTTTCTGAATGTTGGCAATATAATCAAGTTTCTGAAAGTAGAACCAACACATGATCATTAAATTTATGTCACTGCATGCTCGTGTAACAACTAACATAAAGCTCATCAGTCAGCAGGTCCTTTCCTGAACTTAGAGCTCTTCACAGCATGCCTGAAAGTGTCTCCTTCTCTAGCCAATTCTCCAGCCCTATGTGCTTTCTTCAGTGTCTTTGTGAGGGGTCGGCCTCTGCCAGAGACTGCACCACCCCCCCCCCCATCACCGTTATCTCCAGTTCACCATAATGCATGCTATTGCCAAAATATCATAGCTTTCAGGACAGAATGCTGTTTATGAGCCAATACTCTGCAATGTTCAGATCATGTAGTATGTCAAGATTTGTCTTCTTCTTGATCCAAAGTATTCTGAGATTTTTTTCGTTAGCATTTCGGTTTAAAAGCTCCAATTTTATTATTGCTGAAAGATCAAGTTAGAGTCCTCGACTTAAATCCATAAGAAGCCACGGGAAAGATGTATGATCTGAAATTTTTTACTTTAACAGGCTTGCAGGTACTGCGACACAGATTCTTCATTCACAAAGCTAGACCTCAGCAAACTGGACATAAATCATCTTCTTCTTTGATCCTTCTGTCAGAAAACTTATGTTAGGAAGCCAGTAGCCTTTAGGAAAGCTATCGTGCAGTCCATATCTTCTCGTGTACCATACAGTTTTGTCTTCATTGTGGTTTGAACAGGCCAGATTGCATCTCTGTTGTCAGCATACAGTTGACAGTGTTGGAGCACATGTTCAGCATTTTCGGGAGCCACGCTGCAGGGACACGTCCCCGTGTTTCCTACACTAAAAAGTCTGGTGGATAAGAATATCACAGTATTAAGGTAAATTCATAGAATAGGCATGCCATGTTGTATGGAGAGGGGAAAATCCAGAAGGCAGTAAGGATAACTGCAGTTAGCTAAAGAGCCGTGTGTCAGAGAAGAAGCAAAATAAATTAATGTGATTTCAACAATGGTCTTAAAATAACATGCACCGTTCTGAACCGAGGTGGTATGTGGACAAATTATTATTTAACTAATTTCTTGAAACACGCCGTCATCTTTTTTTTTGAGGGGTAAAAAACAAAATTCGACTACTAAGACAATTATTTGTTATAGCAGTGTTATAATATTATTCCTCAACAATCCCTGGTCACTTTGATGTAAAATATAACAGCTGAATTAGCATGGTCTGTTTTGATTGTGCAATTAAATAATTGTATTCCCACCCCTAAGGCATCTGATGCTAAACTCCTGGGACTCAAAGAGTGAAGGCCATTATGATGTGTATAAGGAGTTAATCTATCCACGTTGTCACCTTGTCCACGTCATGCGCCTCGGATAAGGGCTCACCTTTGTGACCTGAAGCGAATTGGCAGGGGATCTCGGAGTTGGTGACCACTAGAGATGTAGGGTCCAGTCTGGCCTACATCAGCCCAACCCTAATACATGGGTGAAAACATCTATGAAAGCTCATTTGGTGAAAGGGGAAGTCCGATAGCCAAACATACGATTAAATTGCAACCCTCGGTTAAAACATCTGTCAAGTGGGAAGAACTACTGTTCTGTCGAGATCAAGCCCCATAACAAGATATTTTCTCGCAGCCTAGACGAGCAATATCTCTTGTGGGCGGTAAATCATGGAACAGTCCTGTCTCCATAAATCCCTTGCTGTTCCTTAATGTCCTCATCATGGCGCTGAGGTTCACCATGACAATCTGCCACTGTCGGTGAGCTGATTTGGCATAACTGTCTATCAGACATATGTCCTAAGGCCTAGAAACAAAATCCTGAATGTTCCCCCCCCCCCCCCCCCCCCCAACAAAAACAGTCCCACTAATTGGCAGAAAGGTTAATATGTCCATTACCACTGGCCCCAACTGCCAGGGTTGGGACAAACAAAGAGGGAGCCATGCTGGACACATGCCCTTGCCGTACTGTCTTGCTAAGTTTCCAGATAAAGCAACGTTAAGGGTGTTAAATGTGCCGAAGAAAACTACCTATTTGTGTAGTGAAAAAATAAAAGATCAACATTAAATTTAAAAAAAAAAAACCTTTAACTGTATGCCTGTACATAAAATACAATAAGAAATACCTCTACGATTATGAACTACCCATAAAATTGACTGTCATATAATTCACAACAATACTGTAATATTAAGGGGCTTTGAATGAAAGCCTCACAAGTGTAACAAAAATTACAAAAACCATGCCTTTGTTCTGTAACCTGTCAACACTGTTATTATGCGTGTCAAGACTGTCAAGCACAAAACATCATGGTGCAGACAAACACTGTGACGTGACAGTTTATAGATGGCCGCCCCACTTTTGAAGCTCCCGCCCCTCCCCGTAAAAGATGTGCTTCAATTAAACCAACCAAACTTAGATACATAGTTCTCACAAGAAACTGTTACTGCCATCAAAGGGGATAGATGAAACAGCAGAAATACAGAATAAATAATTTAAAACAAAACATATACATATACCAAAATGAATATCATGCGCTCATGGAGCTATGAGAATAAATCCTAAAAAAGATGGTGGATTTCGGAGCTCAATTTTGGAGAACAAAGAATAAACTAACCAGCTAGGGTTGCTTCCTTCAAAGTCAGAGTGCATCTGCCTGAGATGCAATAAACCAACAGTCGGCATACAAATAAGCCAGATCTGTAAAACGGACGTGAATGCAAAACACAAGTTCTGAATCAAGACCAGGTTTGGAAGAATAACCAGAACTTTTACAGCCTGTAAACGCTAAGAAGAAGAAGAAGCAGAACAAAGCAGATGCCACTTTTACAAAAAACTTCACTGCAATGCATTTGTAATGACAATTTTGAAACATTACTTACCTGTTTCAACTTTGGGTGAGCTAGGAAAAAGAATTCTACTCGTCCATGAGACAAAATGGGATCCTCATTGGGCAAGTTCCGCAAAACATAAAATATAAAATTCTCATTGTTGTTCTTGTCCCCGATACAAACTATACTATAAGGCACATCTGGAACATAAAGAACATAAGAAAAATATCATCATCATCATCATAAACCACTTCTGCTGTTAAGCATTGTGGGGAGGAACAATTTGCAAGCCAGTGCATGTTGGCTGGCACTGGCTACTGTCATGTCGTAAAGGTGCAAAGGGTCTTTAATGTTGTCCATCCATGCTTTCGTGGCCTTCCTCTTGTAGGTGATCTTCTGAATTGCAGTGTCTGTAATAGTATTTGATAGTGCTGCATTTTAATGAGATTGCCAAACCACTAAATCTGCTGTTTTTCAATGTATCTAGTACAAGGTGCTGTTCCCACAATAGGTCTGACAGTACTGTTATTCACTTGATCTCCGATAGTTAAGTTGGCAGTTTTTTTCAGGCACCCCATCTTGCAAGGATGATTCTGCGCACGTTGGATTTTGATAATGTCCTCGTCGGACAATCATGCATCTTTAAAAATCTTGGCAAGGAAATGCAAGAAGAAGAAATATAAGAAAAATAAAATATGATCATCCATTTGTGCAATCACACTCCACATAGGGCTCACAGTGTATTTTCCTATTCCGTTCTTTCCTCAGCAATTCTTTTAGATATCACACATGGAATCCAGTCGTGCATCTTTAGCCTCTTGTCAACAACGTTCATCCTAGGGTACAGCCGGATGTCGTGACCTCCTCAACCAATTTGTTTCTCATTTAGATGCGTTTGGTGATTCTCTGTTAATTTCTTTTTAGGAAGTGCCCAACGTGTCTGCCATCTTCTTTGTCTTGTAACTGATGGTACTAGCAGTTGTCCAAACATTTCTCTTACTTCTTCACCTTTGCTGAGTTCATGAACTATATAATACCTTGGACTGTCAGAATAACTAACAACAAATGCCTGAAAATGGCTAACAGAACATTATACAACAATGAGAAGGAGAGAAACAAAGTTCTTTGATTAACCGATTGAAAAAAGAGTGCTGGAAAATATCGCCACGACTGGACAGATCACTGGTAGATGAGGCAAAGGCAGACCAAGAGAAATGATAGTGAATGGCTTACGACAGTGGCATGGAAGAATAGCATCAGTGGAACTGATCTAGAACACCAAAGACCGAGATCTGTGAAGATGCACGAGCGTCTACGCCAGCTGGCAAAGCACTTGATGATGATGATCAACAATAATGACATTTTAAAAAAATATGGGAAACTTTTTTCGATAGTAACATTAGAATACCGGGAAAAAAAATATAGAAAAATATAATATACAACAGGAAGTCAAAAATTAGCTACACTTTTGAAATAACTTCTGACACTGTGCACACTGATTCTTCTTTCACTTATTTTATTGTTATACTTTTGGGGTAATGCTTTGAAAGTTTGATCCTACTACTGGAATTTTTCCTCCTTCTGTTGAAGAGTGATCACAACAGCTCCATTAGAAGTTTGCACCAAAGAGGAACACAGGCAGTGATACGATTTCTTTGGTAAGAGGTTAGTAGAAGAAAAGCATTTATTTGGGAGGAATAGGTATGCGTGTTGACCGTTGGGCAAAATGCATTCAAAAGGAGGGAGATTACATAGAAAAAAAAAATGATTTGTATAGTGAAATCATAGCCTCGTGTTAATAAACTGTAGAATAAAAAGTTTTGATAACTTTTGACTCTTCCTCATAGAAATAATAAATAATAGAAATAACAATGTTCAAGTCGAGGGGACTGACTTTACTGCACTGGGTTTTATCCGACATGGCCTGGTCTCTCCTGCAGAGTGGCTATCTGCCTGCCAAAAGCGTTGCACAAAACACAAACTCTGTAGCTCTGGCAACTATCCCCAAGGCAAACCGCTTTACCACTTCACCACAGAGACCCACAAGAGAACATTGTATAGGAATAATACAACATATGACCAATAAAATAATAGAAAAATAAAATAATAGAAAAATAAAATATAGGAAGATAAAATATGCGAACGATGTGATATAAGAACACTATATTACAGAAACAATGAAACACATTAACAGTAAAATATGAGAAGAATAAAATATTAAGTACCATCTATCAAGCGCACCACCTATTCCACCTCAAAGTGTTTGACGGCAAATAGAATGTTGTTAATCTTCTTCTTCTGCTTCTCTTCCACCTTGTACCTCAGCGAAGTGTCGTAATGACAGATATAAATCAACCAATAAGGTGATAAGGAAAATGAGATTTCAGGAAATCTATATGGGGAGATCATTATCTGATTTAGATGACAGTTGTTAGTTGAGGTGTCAACATACAGCAGACGGGGTGCCCTATAACAGCTTCATTCTTGTGCAAGTGGAAATCACACAAAATGTCCCTTATTGTCCCATTTCAAAACTAGTAACAAACTTATCAGTCCCTGCAAAAATCTTGAAGCTAGCACATACAAAATCAAAATGCATAAGGCAGCTGTCAGATGTGGCAACACTGATGTTCCCAGACTAGAACTGCAGCTCACTGTCTGTCGAAACGGTTAATCACAAAAAGCCAGCACCTCCAAAAGTTCATGAAATTCTGAACATAATCGGCTACCTGCCATTTTAAAGTGGCTGCAGGCACAGCAGGAAAAAAAAAATTCCATATGGAATTCAGAGCTCAGTGTCGCACCAAGCCTCAACTCAGTAGTTGGCAATAGAACCTTTGTACTCTCGGTCAAGAAATGGGGAATTTGCATCAGCAAAAACCAGCCTGAAACAAATAACTCTTCAGAGCACTAGCAGTCTGCTGGCAATCAGCCATTTTGGCCAGAATTGTATGTGTATAGATCATGTATTCCCCCATCTTCCGCCAACACCTCAAATGTCACACACAAACAAAACTTACCCGTACGAAGTTGTGTAGCTTGCTGGAGCAGCCTTACAACTTGAGACTCCATCTCATGATATGCCTTGACTCTATCACTGTTACCTGCAGCATGCAGCTTCAGGTACAGATTCACCACAGACCAGTTAAAGAAATGAAACCGTTCACTTCCAAACTCTTGTTGGACTTCCTGGAATGTTTGACGAATGATCTCATGTCAGAAACAAAAGACTTCTTCTTTCCCTGTATGGGCTCTGCAGCCCAGTACGGATTGGGGGGGGGGGGTTGACCCAGTGCCTTCCTAACAAGCATGTTGTAAGGGTTGACTAATTAGGAGTTTCCTTCATAGTTGGAGTATACCTGTCTGGGAAGCTAGGAACCAACAGTGTGTATACAAATAAGCCAAATCTGTAAAACGGTTGTGCACACAAAACTGAAGTTCTGGAACAAGATTAAAGATCAGAAGTGGACAACAACAAAAAACTTTCTGCCAGAGTTTACAGCTGTTGAACGTGAAGAAGAAGAAGAAGAAGAAGAAGAAGAAGAAAAGAAAGAAGAAGATGAAGAAGAAAAAGATGAAGATGTTGATGATGATGAAAATGAAGAAGAAAAGCTAAAGTAATTTCTTGTGTGCGGGGCCTCATTTGGTGAGGGGGATGGTGCAGACCTTCTGCCCCCTAAACAAGAATGTTGTAAAAGGCAACTAGTTAGGGGTTTGTTAAAATCAGATGTGCTGCGTCGAAAGGCACATATATCGCTGCCTAATCGTAAACCATAACACAACGTACTAACCAGGGAAAACACAAAAGAAGAGTGAATGAATCAAGTGTCCTGTCACTCAGGACATTCCCATATGTGCTCCGTCTCCTTTCTCAATAGCCAACAAAGAGTCGACATGCTAACAGTACCAGATGTAGCCTGATTAAAAGTCCGCCCATGTTTTCCCTCAATGTTGAATATCTTCCAAAACCTCTGCTCATTCCCCGTAGAATTAATCTTTCTGTCCCAATACCAATCTGCTTTATCATAAAGTAGCTCAATGCCCAGAGGGGCAGCAGCAACAGACACTTTAACTGCCAGCTTATTACCCTGCACACCCACATATACTGGACAGAAAATTCATGACATGCTCCTGGTCTCAGTCTTATCAAGTGATCCAAGCCACTTTAGAATAAGGTCACCAGTTTCAATTTTCCAAAGCCTGCTCTGTGAGTTTGTTACAATTGCAAAGAAGAAGAAGAAGCAAGAGAAGAAGACATACAAAAGAATCTACATCAGTGGGCTGCGGGTTCGTTTTAAAGACTGCACCATTTTCTGGTTCATCTTTATCTGAGATCCCAGGGATTGTTGTACAAGCTACAGAGTCTGTGCTTTGAATGGCACTCTCTGAAGGCAGCTATCCATTATGAGGGGAGAGAGAGAGAGAGAGAGAGAGAGAGAGAGAGAGAGAGAGAGAAAGAGAGAGAGAGAGAGACCAAGTCATACGAGATAAATCCTAGCAATGAATTTGATCCTCTTGACTCTGAAATCTATATTATCTCCAGTTTAATGCAGAATCATGGCTTTAGTAAATTGTTATAGCCTTTATGCATTTCCACTTCAGTATAAAATCATACCTTGAGTAAATGTAAACACTCCTGGTGTGTATCCAAGGCCACAACTTTAGACACACCCTGTCTTAAAAAATGTCTACATACAAGACCAGGACCTGAATTATGGGAGAGGAAACAAATTATAACTTCTTTTCTGTTCTCTTTTGACTCTGAAATGAAGAAAGCACAGGGAGGTCAGATGCCTGTGCTAACAAAAACCAGCTCTTTATTGAAATACAGGGTTGTTCAAAATGATGCATACTCTTTGATTCATGTATATTTCTGTGAATTTACATTACATAATAATAATATACAAGCAAGAGAGAGGAGAAGGTCTGAAGTTTAAAATACACATAAATAAAGAGAGGGGGAACCCTTAAGGCCATATAAATATTCAATGTAAAAAACAAACAGACAATGTATTGATTGGCACTCATAGCTAGAAGTAGAAAGATAGAGAACACACTGCAAAAAATAAAAATAGAAAGCTATGGTTACCATGCCGGGATAGACCCTGTCACCTCCAAATGGCGTGTGAGCCTCGCTATGGAAACAAGTGCACAAAGAACATGGTCAACTAGGCACCCCCCAAAAAAGGTGTCTTTATTTGCTATGTCTATCGAACAGGTTGAAATCCAAAACTATGGAATATGGACAAAAAAATTCAATAATCGGTAATCTAAGGAGACACAGCATATCTAGGTGTGAATGGTGTGCTAGATTGATAATTCCTTAATCAGTAATCTATAATCTAGAGGAAGTGCAACATCCATGGATATGAATGGTGTACTATGATGATTCTTCAATATCATCATCAGGTGCCTTGCCGACTGGTGTGAGCGATCATGCCTCTCCATAATCTGCGATCTCCTGCAGCATGTATCAGTTCTTGTGCCGACACACCTCCATGCCATGCAACAAGACTGTCAAGCATCTTCTCTCGTTGTCTTACTCTATCTCTCCTTCCACAGATCTTTCCAGTGGTCCCAACATGTTCTATTTTCCCTCTTCTCATAACATGGCCCAAAAATGATGACTGTCTCCTTCTGATGTCTGTGATAAGTTGTCTTCGGGCTCCCGCCTCTTTCAAAACCTCTTGGTTGCTCTTTTTGGCTGTCCAAGGTATTCTAAGAATTCTTCTGTAAAACCACATCTCTGAGGCCTCTAGAAATTGTTTGGCCTGCCTACCGATTGTCCAGGATTCACAGCCATATGTTAAAACTGGATGTATGTAGCAAGCAAGAATTCTTTTTTTAACTCTCAATGACAAGGATATATTGCACAAGATGTTTTTCATTTTATAAAATGCAGTTTTTGCCTGTCCTATTCTGTTTCTTATCTCAGTTATGCACCTTCCATCTGATGTTATCCATGTGCCCAGATACTTAAATTTCTGTACTTGTCCTAAAATAACACAATCAACTTTTATTACACACTTAGGAATAATTTGTGTCTTTGATACCACCATTACTTCTATCTTCCCATTATTCAAACTGACGCCCATTCTTCCACCACAATGTCTATTATTTCCTGTAGTTCTTTCTGACTTGTTGCTATCAAGACTGTGTCATCAGCATAACGAAAATTGTTTATATTGTGCCCACCAACCACAATTCCAGGCATATTAATTAAAGATCTCATTACATATTCACTGTATATTGAAAGCAAATCAGGTGACAGTACACATCCTTGTCGTACGCCCCTCTTTATGCTTTGAAATGTACCTAAACAGTTGTTAATTCTTATAGCTGCTGTTTGCTGCCAATACATATTCTTTATTATTCGCAGATCTTTCCCATCAATGTTTAATTTTTCTAACAGTTTGATTACTTCTTTATGCTTCACACAGTCAAATGCTTTTGTATAGTCTATGAAGCATATGTGCAAATCTATAGCTCTTTCTGACAATGTCCTAAGGATGTATATGGCATTGTTTGTACCTTTTCCTTCCACAAATCCACATTGTTCATCGCTGATTTCTGGTTTAATTTTGTTACTTATTCTTCTCATAATTATTCTCAGTAAAATCTTAGTCATGTGACTGATAAGACTTATTGTGCGATGGTCTTCACATTTTATAGTGCCTGGTTTCTTAGGCAGAGCTATAAATATGGATTTTAAAAGGTCATTTGGAATATACCCACTATTATAAATATCATTTAAAAGTTTAGTTATTATTTCAATTCCAAAATCTCCCAGTGCTTCGATTTCTTCCAGTGAGATGTTGTCTGGCCCGGGTGCTTTTCCTTTCTTCATATGATGTATTGCATCTTCAACTTTTGCAGTCATTATTGGTGGACCATCATTGTTGGTCTGCAGTTCTACATCTGGTCTATTATCATCATACAATTCTCCTATATACTCTGTCCATCTGTTAATTATACTACTATGTCCCGTTAATAAGTCACTATCTTTTGATTTCAAACATCCAGTGCTGTTACGTGTCATCTTTCCTGTTAACATATTTATCTGTTGGTACATGGAATGCGAGTCTTTCCTGTGATTTTCCCCAATCTCTGTACACATTTGATTCAGCCAGGCTTCTTTAGCCACTTTGCATTTGTTCACTATTTCTTTTTTTGTATTCTAGAGTATTCTTCTTTATCATTCTTTTTCTTCTTTCTTTCATCCATCAACTGCAGAATTTCGGTTGACATCCATTTCTTTTTTGCAACTCTATGGGTTGGTGGGATGGTCTCTTTAGATGATTCTTACAAATCAATAAATTGAAATAATATCAAATCAATAAATAAAATGCCAGAAATACAAGGATAATACTGCTCTTTACCTGCTAACAAATCAAGCACAGGAGAATGTGGGTTTTGTCTGTGTTGCTGGACTGTTGATACAATCTTCTCTGTCAGAAAAACAAAATTCATGTACAACGGTGACTTGACAATGATTTTAGTAGAAATCTATTCAGTGTGTCAATCTACACAAAATGAAATACAAATGTGTGTTGGTATCCAGTGAAGAAACAAGAACCAAAATAACTGGTGACTGCCTTATACAATTAACGTGTGTGTATGCTATTGCGGTACTGGATTTGCTGAGACTGTTGTCTGTTTCAATGTTGAATTAAGAATCAACATCATAGCACTCAGGACACTCCAATAAGTTCTCTGTCTCCATTTTAGCAGAAAGCAAAGAGTTCCAATTCCGATGGTACCAGCAACTGTCTGATTGTAAATCCATCTTGCCCTACCCCTGAGTGTTGAGCGTTGGCCAAATACTCTGGTAACTCCTTGCAGCGCTATTCTCCTCAGACCATAACAATCTATCTGTGGCTCCTCACTGTTCACTTGCTACCAAAGGGTCCTCACAATATCTAGCTTGTCATACATAAATTCACCACCAAATGGTGCAGAGCCAGCCAGTCTATCTGTCTGCTCATTTCCCAAAACACCGGCACACCTGAAGAAAATGTCAAAAGGATGCTAACTACTAAAGACTTCTGAAGTGACGCTTGCCACTCGGCATGGAGCATGCCTGTCTCCACCTTTCTCAACATGCTCTGTGAGCCAGTTACAATCACGGCATGAGTGTATAGCTGATTCTCAAGCCAGCGGAAGGCAGCAGTGACTTTCTTCCCTTCCTTCTCAAACTAGACATTGTGATATCATATGCCAGGCTTTGTTGCACTGAGCGACGTCTATTTGCTTTTGCTATGAACCACCAAACACTTTGTATGCCCTTCAACACAGAGCCGTCTGTATAGATAGTCACATCACTTGGGCCAGAATTGTCACGAAACATTTGCTGAACTTCTGATTCTGCAGCATCAGCTGGCCAGTCCCTGCACTCATGACCTAAAGTGATTAGAACCCTACACAGGTCTGAAACTTGCTCTGCCAGCTTGACCCACTCCTCTCCTCGCCCAAATTTATCAAGCCTGCACGCATGTCCAATTATGTCTTCAGTTGCGCCTTCCAAGACATTCCTCCTTTCAGTCTATGACTCTTAGCTTAACCCAGGGCTTCATGCAGGAGGTGCTTCTTGTCTGCAGCTACTCTAAAATAGGATTTCGCTTGCAGAACTTTCAGCCTATCTGCAATAGTAGGCAGTGCAAGTATATATCGCATACGTACTACTGGGGTATTTCTTGTACATCCCAGAATTACCCTCATCGCTTCATTCTGTATGTGTTCAAGTTTCATCAGCTGACTCTTTGATACAGTAAGCATTCCAAGTCCATAATCTATCACCGACAGAATCATATGCTGGAATATTGTGGCAAGCATGCTTTGTTCCATGTCCATTGCTGCCATAATCTTGAGAGCTTGAGTCCTTTTTGGCATTTCACCACAATATATTATATGGTTCTGAGGTACATGTACCGAGGCAAAGGGAAACCATATGTGAATGCATGTGCTATCCAGTTAGTCTGTTTAAACTGTTTCACATAGGATAATAGTGGTCATTGTGTGTGGTTATCACAAGCATGGGATCAGGGCAATTATGGGCTGATCTGTTTGCCAAGAAGTTAGAACTGTGACTAACCATTTAACAAAGACAAGTACTGGCCATACAAGGTATGTAAGTGTTTTTGCTTGCTTTTTCAACCTGCAACGCCTCATACTATGATAAAAATCCACACAGGCAGCAGTGGGTTTTGATCGTGGTACGTCAGACTCGCAATGTTTAGCCGCGGACGCCGCAATTTTCAAATGGGTCCGGTAAAAAATATATTTGTGTGATTTCCACTATCATAGGAACGGAGCAGCTGTGGGGTGGGGTGACTCATCTGCAATCTTCTTCTTCTTTTCGTTCACCGGCTGTAAACTCCGGCGGAAAGTTCTGATTGTTCGTCCACTTCTCGAATACAGTCGTGTTCCAGAACCTGAGTGTTGAGTGTGCATCCATTTGACAGATCTATATGCAGAATGTTAGTTCCTTGCCTCTCAGGCAGATGAACTCTGACTTTGAAGAAAGCTCCCAATTAGTCGACTCTTACGACATGCTTTTAGGTAGGCAGTGGGTCTATTCTTGTTTTTCCCATAGAAGGGCCCCGTAACCCACACGGGGACCATCTGTAATGATTTTGTAACCTTTGCAACCTTAACTAATGACTAACTAATTAACTAACAACTACGCCATTTTGTAATTAAATTGTTAAAGACGCTAGCTAAACTAAACCACTGCTAGTTATTTGATGACTATAAAACTGTCAATCACCACGAATGCTAATCCAGTCAATAAATATATGCAGAAGTCTGATTTTTCGACCAAAAGGTGCACATATCAGGCACATGCTGTAAATGGGCACAACGCACTTAGATCTTAAGAGGAAAAAAATAAATAAAAAAAAAGAAACTGCTATTCGTATCATGTTTATGACTTATCTAGGCTATAACTGGGATAAACAGAATCTATTGTTCTGTAAGACAATAGATGCTTCTGTTTTTCTAAGGTATACTTCAGTGATTGGTTTTAAGTTGAAAGTGGAGCTAATTAAAAACAGCAAAACAACTGACAGGCAAATATAGCAACAAAGGTTGGACTGCAAATGAGTTAGAAAAAGACAAATATACTGAAGATATCAACAGCAGATCAAGTAGATGTAACAATAAAGAGAAAAGCAATTAAAGTAATAGATCAATTTCTGAGTTCCAGAAGGTTTAGCATTATAGGCCCAAGTGGTAGTAGAAAGAGACGTAACATCAACGCATACTAGACAGGCACCTATTAACATATGATGTGTTCTTTGAGACTCAAAGAGTTGAGTTAGTAATTCTGCCAAAAGAAAAACATAGAAAGAAATTATGACACAAACTGGCAAGGCATCTGCAGCTTTTAAAAGCCTGATTAAAATATGGAACTTTAAATCATAGTTTTAAAACCAAGTTACTTATTTTCAATTCTAATGTGGTTTCAAATTCAACATAAGTCAGTGAAAGCTGCACTAGGGAATTTGTAGAGGTCAAAAGAAATTAAAAAAAATACTAAACTAAAAATTTTCAATTCTAATGTCAAATCAGTACTATTGTATGGGGCAGAAACATAGAGACCAATTGAGACAATAACTAATAAATTACAGACATTCATTACCTGGTGCCTGCGTAGAATAGAGGGAATTAAATGGAATGATAGAATAACTAATGTAGAAGATGCTGGCACTGGATAGGACACACACTAAGAAAACAGGAGAACAGCATAACTAGAATGTCTTTGCATTGGAACCCACAGGGGCATAGGAATAAAGGAAGGCCAAAAAACATATGGAGAAGAGAGCTGGAGAATGAAGTTAGAAAGATGGGGAGGACATAGGGAGAGCTCCATGCAATGGCGAAGGATAGAACGACTTGGCGTGAGTTGGTTGAGGGCCTATGCTCCATTGGGGGATAGAAAGGCAGAAGTGAAAGCTGCAGAACCTCTAAAGACATGGAACAATAGTTAAATGCATTCAAAAACAAATGCCTGCAGCAAAATTAGGAACATAAAATGAGATGAATTTAAGAGCTGTGAAGAAATAAGAGAAATGTCTGGACAGCCACTAGTAAAGTATCAACAGTTATAAGACAGAGAAGATGGCGCTATACTCGACATATTCTGAAAAGAAACTAGCAGAGAATGACCAAACAGGCATGAAATGGGAAATAAAGGGATTAAGGAGGTGATGAGCCCACACACAAAAAAACCCGTAAAACAAACACTGATGAGAGAGGTCAAAGGTGCAGGAATGGATTCGGTCTAGGATATTGAATTGAATGCAAGGACAGGATAGAATGGACTAGGGAAAGAGACTGCAAGCCCTAAGTGAAAGATAATGAATGGTACAAGAGGACCATGAAACAAATTATGTGTACAGTACAACCCATTTAGCTTATATATGAGACTTATAGAATCTATTGTTTTGTCAGGCATTTGATTGATTTTTTGTTGTTGTTGAAGATAAGTACAGTAAATAGTTCTTTAGACAACTGAGAAAATATTAATATAAATATAATTAAATAATAATAATATTAATAATATATGCAACTTTACTTAGTGACTAAGTCATTTCAATTATTATTAGGGATACGGATTAAAATTAGATTATGATATAATTTATTTATGATAATTATTATCAAAGACAGGTCAATAACAATTATTAGTCAAAGTAAAGACACCTAAATAGACAGAAACATCACATACCTGCTACATCTTCTCTAAAAACAAACGAATGTCTGTTTCTAGATCTTATCACCCGTGCCTGAACATCCTTGATAGATAACCCGCTACTGCTAGCTTCTTCTCGTCCTGAGACACCTGTTTTCTTCACAGAATCCTTGCTTTGTCGTGCCATCTTTTTTGCTGGTCTGTCTGTTGTTGGTGTTGCATCCGAAGAAAAACAAACACACATTTGTTTAGTAGTTGTGAATGGTGACTCTTGTTGCCTACTATCTGTGTTAGCATTACTACTCTGCGTTTTGTAAAACAACCACCTGACGTCTTTTCGTTGGATACCTGTTCTTTTTGTGGGGCTAAGTCTAAGTTGTACAAGTCGTCTAAATAAATGCATAATAAATATTATTTATAATATAATATTAATAGAAATAGACAAGTAGAATAAAATTTGGGCTCTCCTTGCACCTTTGGACGCAAGCTGGACGGCTTAGCCTAGCTGTTTAAAAACTATACACCGTACTTTTCCAAAAAGAAGTAAAGTTACGCTGAATTAAACGAGATACAACATTAAGTTTGACTTCATTATGACATTATTGTGACATTATCCTTTCACGGAAAGAAAATAACTAGTTTGATTTCGAAAGTAGCAGCTTGCCGGAAGTCGTTCGGTTTTTTAATTATTTTTTCATCCCACCTGAGGAGGATGTCCCGTTTCCACTTTCTAGCAGTTCATTAATCTCATCCACCTCG